AAAAGAGTTGATGAGATTCGCCTCGCAGAAGAGGACATCAGATCTCGGGTTGAGTAAACAATTCCAGGAGTACAGTTTTCTTTAATCATAGTAGATTAAATTCCCAGGGATCATCCTCCGTCTGTATCACGTGAAGTTTTAATACAAAAAAGTTGATCTATGTCGGACTTTATACCAATTGTAGTTGTGCCTTCTGATTGACTCCCAAAATAGTATCTTACATGTATTAAATTTCTATGAACTAGTTGGTCAGTTGTATTTGTTATCAATTCATCTAGAAGCCATGTTCTTCTCCTTTTCATCACTATTCTCTCATCAACACCTATATCAGCCAGAACCTCTGATAATTTCATTGACACAGTCTCGATGTAATTTGGTACTTGATACATTCTGAAAATATCATCAATGTTTTAAACTATCATAAATTTTCTCACATATGTAATTTTTTTACTGATAAACTGATTTTCCTTTTTGAGATCACCACAATCAGGTTATTTTTGTTTATTGTTAAATTTTCCTTTAGATAAAATAGTTTAAGACCTTTGACTTTTTTAAAATGAATTTTAATTCACTTATAAGAGTAATAATTAAATTGTCACCTTTTTTATATCTGCTGCAGATTTAGGATCATAAAGTCCTTAGATGTTTAATATTTAAAAAGCAAAACAAAATACTTGAGAAATTTCTCAGTTGCTAACAACAATTAGAGTATTGGGTTTTCTGAATTTATTTTTAACTTCCTCTTTCTCTTTCAAACTCTGTTGAGCAGTTATTTTATATCTGTTATTTGTTGACTCCCTTTGTGGACAAGACATTTTGACAAGATAAGATGAAGATAAAGTGTACTAGATTCATGCTTCATTTATGCTTCATGAGATATTTTGTCATGCCAGGACTGGAAATGATTTTTCATGATTAATGTTTTATTTAATGAAGGTCTAGAACAATAACTTGTGTGCCAAATATCATATCATTGGTTAGTGTGTTTTTTTCCAGAATTCCAAAAAAGTTATTCTTATTGTGAAAAAATGACCCAAAACTGTTACTTTTTACTATGATTTTAATTCAAATCGAGCACTAAAATATGATTTCTGTGTTTGATAAAAATATTGTAGAATTCTTTTTAAGAATAATTGTTCTGTTCTGTGTTTGAAAATGTATTAACCTATACCAGCCAGAACCTCTTATTGCTTATTTGACACAGTCTGGTTGTAATTTGGTACCTGACTCATTCTGAAAATATTATTGTTATTCTAAAATAGTATAAAGTTTCTGGCATATTAAATTTCTTTACTTCTTTTCTGATTTTCTTATCTAAGATCACAATCAAACTATGATTGTTGATTATTGTTTAATTGTGAAAATTTCCTTTATAGAAAATTGTTTTGAAATAAGTTTTTATTACCATTTTGATCATAATCAATATTTGTTATTTTAAAAGAAGTGTATTATTTAATGTTTTAAATTACTTTTGTATTATGAAAATTAATTTATACTGTTTATTTTTTATATATGCTATGAATCGAAAATTTCAATCAAATACAGAACTTTGACCTCTTTTTGAAATAAATTTTAATCAATATTAGTCAGTAATATGATAGAATAATCATTAAATTTTTACCTTTTTGTTTAAATCTGCTTCAAATTTAAGATCATGAGGTCACTAGATTTTCAATATTTAAAAAGCAAAACAAAATACTTCAGAAATTTCCCAGTTGCTAACAACAATTTGCTGGATTTATTTTTAACTCTTAAGAAGATAACTCTCTTGATGACTTTGTTGTCTCCCTTTGTTGAAGAAAATTGATTGACAAGATACTTGGACAAGATAAGATGAAGATCAAATGTACTAGATTCATGCTTCATGTATGTTAAAGGGAATTTACTGAGTTTTTTTGTTATGCCGGGACTGGAAATGATTTTTCAAGATTAATGTTTCATTTAATAAAGGTCTAGAACAATAACCTTTGTACCAAATATCATAACAGTCTGGTTGTAATTTGGTACCTGATACATTCTAAAAACATAATTATTGTTCTAAAATAGTATAAAGTTTCTGGCATATTAAATTTATTTACGTCTTTTCTGATTTTCTTATCTAAGATCACAATCAAAATATTGTTGTTTATTTTTAAATTGTGAAATTTTTCTTCATGATAGAAAATTGTTTTGAAAAAAGTTTTTATCACTATTTGGATCATAATCAATATTTGTTATTTTAAAAGAAGTGTATTATTAAATGTTTTAAATCACTTTTGTATTGTGAAAATTAATTTATACTGTTCAATTTTTATATATGCTATGAATCGAAAATTTCAATCAAATACAGAACTTTGACCTGTTTTTGAAATAAATTTTAATCAACACTAGTAAGTAATATAATAGAGTAATCATTTAATTTTTACCTTTTTGTTTATATCTGCTTTTCAAATTTTAGATCATGAGGTCACTAGATTTTCAATATTTAAAAAGCGAAACAAAATACTTTAGAAATTTCCCAGTTGCTAACAACAATTTGTTGGATTTATTTTTAACTCATAAGAAAATAACTCTCTTGAGCAGGTATTTCATATCTGACTTTGTTGTCTGCCTTTGTTGAAGAAAATTGATTGACAAGATAAGATAAAGATAAAGTGTAATAGAATCATGCTTCATGTATGTTAAAGGGACCAAACTGAGGTTTTTTGTCAGGCTAGGACTGGAATATTTTTAAGATGACTGTTCCATTTAATGAAGGTCTAGACCAATAACTTGTGTGCCAAATTTCAGATAATACACTCAGTCAGTTTTTCAAAATGATTATTCTAATTGAAAATTTATGTCCTGCCCATAACTTTGTTATTTGAAGAAGGATTTTACAACTATTTCACAGAAATGATCACATATTGAGACGACGTGTCACGCGCAACATTTGGGGGTCGCTACCTTGACGGTCAAGGTCACAGCATGATCTTGCAGCAAAATCGTGTCTGGCCCGTAACTTTGTTGTTTGAAGTCGGATTTTACAACTATTTTACAGAAATGATCAACATGTTTAGACAGCAAGTTGCGCGTAAGTCGGTAGATAGATCTCATTGAGTAGAAGTGCAGTGTAAAGAACAATTACTCTGCCTTGCCTAAGTTTGGAATTATCACACTTTGAACTTTGTCTGGGTCATAACCTTTCTGTGTCCAAACCCTAGTAGGGGAGCATCACCCGGTTCAACTGGCTCGTGTTTTTTTTTATCTTTTTAGATTTTTTTGACGTCAGTGAAGTTCCTTAAATGCAAAAGTGTCATAGCAATTTGAAGTATTTAGCTTTGGTTATTTTCTATGACAATTTCTGTTTATTCTTGTCAAAACTTACTCACCTTAAAAAGAATCAAATATACATAAAAAGCAACCATTTCAACAAGCAACATGGATAATCAACGCACTTTATTTATTTCATCAAACTTTAACAAGTTTTTCAATTAAAGAAATAATCCTTTTTCACCGTGATCTTGATTTAACTTTAGCCATACAGCGCAGCGTATTGTCTTGACATAATAGTTCAGGTACTCTTGCCCTTTCTAATTAAATATTTCACTTGGTTACAGATTATGAGGGAATGTGTTGCTCTCTGACAGAGAAAGAAAGGCAGTTAACAGAGCTAAGGGAGAGAACTGATGAGAAAATAGAACATCTGAAAAGAGAACATGCTCAGGAAGAGTTACGACTTGAACAAGATAGGACCACAGCTGTACAAGAGAAAGATTTAGCCAAGTAAGTGTATATAACCTCTGCATACAGAAGAAGTCTCTCTCTTTGGTTATTTAAGGTTTGTTAGCATCTAGAGAGGTTAAGATTAGTGCTAAGTCTATCTTTGTTTTTGTTTGATTTTAAGGTGAGTAAGGTAATTAAATGTATGTGTATAAAATAATGTATAAATGGGTCTTTTTCAGAGTCTCCCTCAGTCAACAAAGACTTAAAGTTGATAAAATTATGACTTTTTGATATTATATTCAACAACAGATAAAAAAATATCACCAGAAAGAATAATAATGACATTCTTTTGGAGAAAATTTCTTTTGCTCAGGTTAATAATAACATAGATCAATAGTGTTTTATGAGAAATGTTTCAACATGTATTTTCTGTATATTTTAGAAAGGAGAGGGACAATATAAATGAGCAGTTAAAACAGAAGGAGATACAGCTGAATACATTTGGTAAAACTTTACAAGAGTTGGAAGCTGTAACAAGGCAAGTAATATTTCAGTCAACCCTTTTAGCTTGATTACAAGGAATAGTGGAAGCAGCCTACGTAATCTGGTATCGGTGTCTTTTAAAACATACAGAATTCCTTGTAAGGTTGTACATACCTATTCATTCTGGACAAATATTACTTGAACCTATATGTTATGCTTGAAGAAAACTTGCAAAGGGCCATAACTGTAGTGTGAAATTTTACTTGTGAAATTTTGCTGAATATTACATGTTTAAGATTGCAAAAATCCTGGTAATTTCTCCAAATCTACTGCAGAATTTCCCTAAAACGGCTTACATTTCTCAACCATCATAAATATAACAAACCTAACCAATTCCAATATCATGATTCTCTACCTTGTGTATTTAAATAAAAAGATCCTGCATGATTTTGTTTTACTAAAGTTATAGTTTACAAATTGTTAAGGATGCTGAATAGTGCAAGTATTCTTGACAATTTTTATATTTTTGTCTGATGGAGTGTTGGTGGTTCTGCCAAGGTGTTTTGGTGTCAGAAGTGATGGCTAGTTGCAAATTTTGAACTTGATAATGCTTAAAAAATTGACATAAGACTGTAATGGAATCTGTTTGATTTTAAAAGCTTAAAAGAATAAATAAACAAATCATAACTAATAATATACCTTATTAAACAAAAGTATTTTTTACTGCGTTTTGTTATAATAATATCATTTTTAACTTTACAATTGATAATGCTTGAATATTGACATAAAACCTGAAAGATCTTAAAGGCTGGCAAATAGAAAATGAACAAGATCCATCTTATGGTACATTTATGAAACAGAAATAAGGATTATTTACTGTAATTTATTTTTCACTTGACAGAGAGAAGAGACAACTTGAAGCTCATGTTCAGAAATTGGAATCCTCAACTGGGGACTCCAAGGTGCTACTTGATGGCCAGAGAAAAGAGTTGATGGCCCTAAATGAAGCTCTTGCCAAACTCCAGGAGAGAAACACTCGTCTAGAAGCTGAAAACCATACCATTCATGCTGATCTGAAGGCTCAAAAGGAAACTGGGAACCGCGAGGCTCTGGAATTAAATATTGCTATAAATGAATTAAAATCTCAACATGAAAATGAACGACACTACCTCAATGATAATCTTTCACAAGTATGTTCATTACCTCATATAAAACTGTTTATAAATTTAATTTCATATTTGAAAATTCTTCTTTGTTTTTTAGATTTGTGTTTCTTCAAACAAATTTTTATCATGATAATCTTTTAATGTAGACACAAACAAGATTACGGTCAGTGGAAGCAAGCCTCGCTGCAGCAGCTAGTGACAGAGATTCCATGCAGGCAAAGTGTCGTCTGCTAGAAAACACTGTACAGGAACTGCAGTCTAAGTTATCAGACGAGAGCACTGGACGGAGACTGGCGGAACAATCTGTAGGAACACTCAGGTTACAACTGGAGGACATGAAAAATGACAAGGTATACAAATCATGTGATATTAAATAGTCTAGTTAATTTAGCAATTGAATCTACCCATGTGACAAGCAGCCTGATAATAGTCTACACTGTCTGTTATTTACTTACTTAATACTTATTTTGAAATTTTATCTTACAAAAATGAATGGTTTTGTCCAGATTAAGGATGTCAAATAAAGGAATAGGAATGGATGGATTGATGTCTGTCTAATATAAATATTCATCATTAAAAAAGAGGTACCATGACAGTTTTTTTGTTGACATCAACCCTTTAAGTGAGAAATTCGTGTTTTAAGACACTATTTTTTACTTGAGAAATAAGTTCATGGGCGCCGCCATTTTGGCGTTCTGTCATTCTCGCGAGACAGACGAGACCGAGATTGTGACGTGTTATACCCACTTCCGGTAAAGGTGTACACGCTGGTACAACTGAAATATATCTTGACGAAGAACTTTATTAATCTTATTGCGTACATTATTTATTATTTATGAAAACATCATATGGAACTGAATTGCTTTAATTAATTAATTGAAGACGCCGCGGCATTAATTATCATTAATTTTGTCCGATTTTTCAAGCTTGCTGATGATCCCACCACATGATTTAAGCAATGACTGCTTAGTTTTCAAAGATAAACCATCAATTTAATTTGGGTACTTTGAGAACTTTCTTCAAATTGACGATATATCCTTTTATTTGGTACTTAATTTTCGCTAGACAAGCTGTCTGAATAGGGTACATCGCCGGTCATGTATCTTTTTCTCAGCGGTAAATATCAACTAAATCCAATATGCAGATATTTCCTGAGGACGCGATTTTCCGACATTGACGCTAAAAATAAAATGGTGCAGGAAAATCGGCAGCTAGACTTATATCGTATGAAAACAAAACTGTCCGTTCGGTTAATTAGGCACCCAGTCAAAACTGGTACCAACAGCAACAGGTTGCCCATTGGGCACAATTCCCCTATTATTACGCATATTCTCGGGTTTATCCAGTTCCCTATAGCTTTTTTCCACGTTATCTACTTACCTCACAGATACGCATTTCTACTACCGTAAATTTAATCCAATAAAACAAAAAACATAAATCTACTTAATATTCAAAATGATTATTGGTAACTGAAAAATGTGTTGCTATTGTATGAAATGCTGTAATTTACAGTATAACTTAACTCCCCTAAGGTCATTCAGTTTACTGATGAAGCGTAAAAAAATATGTCTATTTCGTCATTAGAATATTTGACAAGGGTGATTAACCAATCAGGGCAACATTGTGCATGATCAAAAGGTCTGTCGGCACAGAGGCATACAAGGAGCAATAAAAATCGTTAGTACACAGTGTGACAAGAGCATTTGGTGCAAATTAGGAACAATTAAAATGGATAATACACAGTATTAGTCATAAGTAGTAAGAACCAGCAATTGTGTGAATAAATTATGCAAATGAGATTTTTGAGCAGCCAATAAAAATGTTTTGCATGCAGTTAATATGAGGCTACGATTACGATGTAAATAAATACCACGAAGCATCATACGTTGACAGACATGTAAACAATTTACTTTTCGAAAGAGTTGCTTACTACTAACATATGTTCACACCTTTTAATTTGAAAGTCAGAATCAAACTGCAAAAATTTAATTACATGTACTATTTAGAACACGTTTTAGTAGGATTTTAATAATAATGATATTTATCGCCGTTCAATAATTAACAGCCAATTATTCGTTGGTGCGTTTGTTTATTTAATTGCATTATTTGATTATGAAACTTAGTTAAGGTGACAACAGACACTTTCCGTGGGACTCACATAAATGTCATTTAAACCAACTTATTTTAGTAACAATTGTTATTTATTTAATCTTTGTGCATTAAATGTCGCTGATCATCATAAAAAATAACATATTTGAAAAAAATGCCTTTGTAAATGATTGATTTTTAATAAAAATCCTAAAATTTTAAATCGTCATATCAAAGTCATTTTTTATTTTTTTGTTATCAAACTTTTGGAAAATAAACATACTTATAATATCTGGGGAACCGTGTCTCAAATTTTTTCTATCTTTTCTCAAAAAAATATTACGTAACGTCAAACATTTTATGCGATTTTTTTCACCATACATATTACGTAATTAAAGATAATTAAGTCGCTGAATGAGCAAACAAAAATCCCTGACACGGTTCCCTCCGTAAATAAATTCCCTTTCATGTGCTTTAAACCGCATGTTAATTGCTTGATTATTAAAAAAGTTATGCCGATTCAAAGTTAGTCCGACCCGCATCAAACGAAGTGTCATAAATCGGCTGTTCTCTCTCGGACCCCTACGTTTCACGCTAAATAATTGCATAATACACAAATATCGCACCAAAGAGGGTCACAGGTTGCGGTAACATACTCTAACAACATTTTATGACCCAGTGACATCTGATCAATTAAAAAGTTTGATTAATATCAGTTTATAACAGAAATTTCTTCAAATCTTAACGTGATTTACCGTCGTCGCACATGTCACGTGACTTTCGGTAAAATTTGAGGCACTCGGTGGGGGGGAAATGGAACGTATTTGCGCAACGCTAGCGGGGTATTTAATTGTTTCACTTTTGAAGTTTATTATTATTATCATCAGCATTATTATTATATTATAGCAGTGTCACTCTGTCTGTGTATTTGTGTATGAAATTCCATTAAAATAACAAAAAACTGAGCTTCTGACGGTATTTTAAAGGCCATGGTAGATGTACAAATAAGAACGGGATATTATATATTTTTCCTCCAAATTGATATAAATGCTTCACATATTTTAGAAATAAAAGGTATCACTCGATCATTATGATCTGACCTTCTTGACTTCTATTATCATGAAAATCATCTATGCAAGGCATAGAGATCCAGTTTCTACTGGGATATACAATAAATTCCATAATTTGTCCCAGGTTTATTAGTACTGTGTTCGATTTACTGGCGAACAATTTATTCAAAGCATTCACTGATAATATATATTAATATCTTTTTTTATTGATTCATAGAGAAATAATCATCCTTAAACAATCTAAAATGGTTTAGAAATTTGTCAGGGACACCTTACCACAAGTCATATAGGCGTTCACATAAAAAAAATGTTGTCTGTTTTTGTTGTTGTTTTACTTGACATTGTTAGAAAACGAGGTTTAGTTGAATCCGTACAAAAGTCCATAAACTCAATATAATATATATCAGATTAACGGGACAGACAAATTATTTTCACACATTATGGATATTTTAGCAACTATACTTTTAATCAACCCCGTGGTCGTGCGATTTGCCGCTATGCTTAATTATTTATGTTTCATACATTATGTTACGTACTTTGGCCGACAATTTCTTATTTAATAAAAAAATGCCAAATAAAAGGTAGACGATAATTATAAAAGATGTACGGTATTTGTACGATACATGAATTACGAGTAGTATGGACCAGTATGGACCGGTAATTCACGGATATATGGAACTACCGATTTCCCTCATTGATGCCTCAACAGGGGGCGGAGCGTTATCGATAACTGACAGGTTACGCGAATAGCAGATAAAAATGGTACATGTACCGTTTTAAAACGTTTAAAAACACATTTTTTGGACTAACTGCTTCCAAAATTAAATCACGAATGTGTTCAGAAAAGGTTGATAAATCTACTAAGCAAAAAATCTCATTTTAGGTATTTTCAGTGATAATTGACTCCGTTGTCACCTTAAATAATAACATGTGTATTTATTAACTCTGTGAAATATTGTTTAATTACATTAAGATGAGACTTAAATGAACATAGCATTGTTTGGAGTAACGGGCATCACTGGCCTGAAGTGGTGCGACCGGTAGACGTTGATTTTTTATTTGTTTCTTTATTTTTCTATTTATTTTTTATTTTTTTGATATTGTTACGTATTTTGAACAATAAAAAATCGCCTCTTCACCTCCTGTGAAAATTTAATTGTCTGGTCAATACTTTATTATGTAAATATTTCGCTACGATTCAGCTAGATTTATCATAAATCTAAAGATGTGGGGAAATGACATCACGCGCACCTGTTTTAAACGGCCATTACACAAACATGGCCGCGCCTACTGATTTGTAGAAATCGGTGATTTAGCGATTTAAATTTCGTTATCATTCCTTTAATATTATTATTTGGCGGCAGAAAATTTGCAGATTTATTATTTATAGTATTCGTTTTCTGAAATCAAGTTTTTATTCTAACCTTGTTTTTCCCTTTAAAGATATTTAGCCTGGGAATGGTTAAGATAAACGCATTTTGAAGAGACAGACATATGTTATTTATTGAAAAACACATTTTTTGGACTAACTGCTTCCAAAATTAAATCACGAATGTGTTCAGAAAAGGTTGATAAATCTACTTAGCAAAAAATCTCATTTTAGGTATTTGCAGTGATAATTGACTCCGTTGTCACCTTAATAACTTTATGTAAAAAGCATGTGCATTGTGATATAATTTTCACGAAATTGCAGGCTCAGTTTAACAGCTTGTCCCTTAGTTACTAAAACCCGGATTTCGAATATCGTTGTGGTCTACATTGATGGCGTATCCATTCATTCATTCATTCATTCATTCATTCATTCATTCATTCATTCATTCATTCATTCATTCATTTCTATACTTTCAAAATTTTTCTACAAGAAGAAAGTGCACCTGCAAATGAGTATGAGGATAGTTAATGAACTGTTGTAAACGAATATCCTATTGATTTTACCCGTATTACTTTTATCTGTTGCACAGAATGATTTTTTTACAAAGTGTATCAGTATCCGGATGTTGAAAGCTATCCGATTTACTACAGTGTCACATGGCCATCTATTTTTTATGAATAATTTACCATTAATTTGCATGGCTTAATAAACTGAGCCTGCAACATTTCACAATTTAGCTGTTTAGGGTGTTCTTTTGGGTTTCAGGTTTTCTATATTCTAAAGGGAAGTAACTCATGTTTACTAAATTATTTGTTCTTTT